GAACCCGGTGACACCCCACCACTTCACACGCGGGGACACACGGGCCGGAACCAGCGAGCCCCTCCGCGCTGCTGGGAGAAGGGCACAGAGAGCCGACCGGCAGCACGCACGCGGGAGACCGCGGGTGAAGCGGGAGGACACCCCCGGGGCCCTGCGGACCTTCCGCAGAGCCACCCCACTCACCTGCCGGCCAGCGACTGGACCAGACCCTCGGGAACACCCGGCTGGCAGTGGGTGAGGCTGCATATCTGCGGCAGAAACGGGTCCGGGCGCAGTCATCCCCCGCACAGCCTTGCGGGGCCACGAGCGCCCTCCGCGAGCGCAGCCCTCCCACGGGCCACATGCCCACTCGGCCCTCCGGCTCCCTCCACGCCCCCCCCAGGCCCGTCCACTGTCCACAGGGCGCCCCCTGCTGGAGACGTGCGCGCACCTCCGATCCAGGTCTCTCCTTCCGCCGGTTCAAAGATGTGTGCTTCCGCTTCAACCCAGACTGGGTGCCCGCCCTTAACGTTCGCTCTGCCCCAAACCTCATTAAAACAGCAGCGAGGAAAACACTCTGGCCCTGGCCGGGTGGCTCAGGGGGTCGGAGCGTCAGCCTGCCGCACCAGGGCCCCAGGCTCCACCCCCGGGCGGCCCGCACGAGAGTCCACCAACCACGGACGCTGCGCGAGCACGTGGAACAGCAAGCCGAGGTGTCTGCCTGTCTCTCTCAAATCAATGAGCAATTTAGAGAGGGAACAGCGAGCGTCTAAAGGCATCGGGACGAAGACAATGAAGGGGAAAGGAGAAAGGAAAGGCAGAGCAGGGGGTCAGCCGAGTTCTGGGAAGGGGGCAGGCGGTGACCAGCCGCAGGCGGCGGGGGCGGAGCCGCCGAGGGCCACAGGGCCGGGGCGGGCTCCCTCCGGGGCAGGCCCCCGAACCACGGGGCGCACTGAGAACGGAGCTCTGCACGGGAGACCGGCTGGAATGGTTCGGCGCCCAAACCCAGCCTCACGCAGCTGGGCCAGGCGACGGCCCCTTCCCGACTGGCCAAGGCGCCCAGCCTGGAGGGTGGGCCGGGGTGGGGTGGAGGGGCCGGGGAAGAACAGGAAGACGACAGAAAGTGTCCGAGGGGACACAGCGCACGTGCTGAGGCCTGGGACATCCGGCCCGGACCCCCAAACTCTCGGCTGAGACGAGGAAACCGCGCCCTGCACGGGGGCGAGCCCCGGCTCCTGGTCTCTGCAGGTCCCTCGGTGGGGAGAGCGGCGCGCTCGCCACCCCCACTCCCGACAAAAAAGCCAGCCCGAAACGCCGCAGCGTGACCAGCCTGGGGGCAGGGACGGGCAGAAGGACACCAAGACCGTGGGGGCGCCCCTTGTGACAAGCAGGGCTGACAGGGCCCCTCGAGCCGCGTCGTTCTGTTCGCCACGGTCTCAGCATCACCGCCGAGACCTGCAGGCCCCTGGGTCTGGTCTGCACCGGTCAACCGGGGAACACCGGCCCCCGGACCCACTGACACTGACCCACTGTGGGGTGAGGACTCGTTGCCCACAGAACAGAGAGAACCAGAAAGAGGACACGTGACCTACTTGGGAAACACGGATGGAAGGAGCAGAGAAGAGTCGGTCAGGGGACAAGAGTCGAGAGCTCCGGGCAGTGGGCACCGGAAGCCAGGGGCCCCTCAGCTCGCTCTCCCGCCGCCCGTGTCAGGGAGGGGCCCGAGGTCTCCTCGGGCAGACCGGGCCACGAGAGCCAGTGCTGGCCCGGCACCCGGCATCCGTGCGCTCCAGGGACCGGCGCTGGTCACTGGGCCGGCACCCTGGAGAGCCCACGGCTGCCTCCCCAGACAGACCCAGGGGCTGTGCCCACGGCCACCTCCCCCTCCCCAGGACACGCCCCGCGCACAGACTCCGGCTCCCAGCCACGCCCCTCCGGGCCTCGGCTCCTCCCCTCCTCCTCCTGGACCGCTCGCTCCTCTCGCACCCACGCCCGGTCAGAAGCTCCTCATGCTCACAGGGAAGAGAAACCTGCCCTTCAAACGAAAGGAAGGGGCGAAACCACGGGCCGGAGCCCCAGCCCTGTTCTCCCTGACAGCGACCGGACACGACCCAAAACGGGGAGACGTCAGTCACAGCAGCTCTGGGGAGCAGTCCAGCTCTGGGGAGCAGTCCAGGTGGGGGCGGCCAAGCCGCCCTGAACAGGAACAGGCCATGGTCGAAGGGTGGGAGCCCTGGCGGCAGGCTTACTCCTGTCCCCGACCCCCGCAATGGGGCGCAGCCCAGGTCCCCACGGCCCCCCGAACCACCGAGAACAGACCGGACCTCGTCTGCAGCACGCGACCCAGTCGGGGGCGCCTGGGCACCTGGCGGCAGCTGTCCCGCCTGAGCTTCTGCAGCGCAGGCTCTGACCGCGAAAGACCTCAGACACCTGGGCCAGTGGACTGGGGGGAGCCACGTAAAACACAGTCTGAGGCCACAGAGAGAAACTGAGGTGAGGGTCTTTGCGAAATTAGAACATCCAAAATCAGCCCTGGCCGACGTGGCTCAGCTGGTTGGCGCATCGTCCCATAACCAAAAGGTTGTGGGTTCAATTCCTGGTCAGGGCACTTACCTAGGTCACAGGTCTGACCCCTGTTCCAGGTGCGGACGATCCCCAGTCTAAGCACGTGATCCCCGGCCTGGGCGCACAGAAGCAACCAATTCATGTTTCTCTCTCTCTCTCTCCCTCCCTCCCTCTCTCCCTCTAAAAGCAATGAACAAATGTCCTCAGGTGCAGATTAAAACGAAAAAAAGACGTTCAAAATCAGCGTGTGCACGGGAAACGAAGAGCCCGCACACTGGCCCAGGAGAGAGGGTCCCGGGCCCAGAAAGCCCAGGAAAGGACTCCCGCTCCGGGTTGCCGGGCTCACTCACGGGCTCGGGGCACATCCGGTCGTCCGTGAGGTCCCGTCTCACCAGTCCGCAAGAAGTGGGCAAGGCAGCTGTTTTTCCGGATGCCCCATTTCCACCAAATAATCACGATGTGAACAACAAACAAAAGCGAGGCCCAAGCCAGAGAACGAGTGCCCAGAGACCGGGCCCGGGGGACGCAGGCGTGGGACGGGGCCCGAGGGGACACGCGAAGAGCCGCGCGAAGGGCGGAGAACAGTGTGCGACCAGAGGAAAGTCGTGGAGGGGAACCATCAGAAACTGCGGAGCTGCAGTGATGAGCAAGTGACCTGAGACCCCCACCGGAAGAGCTGCACAGCACACCCCAACGAGCAGCCACGACGATCAGCCAGCCTGAAGACTGAGCGTCCGGAACCGTCAGGTCTACGGAGCGGCGAGAAAATGAAGGAAAGTAAACTGGACCCAAGGGACTTGTGGGACACTGTCAAGAGGTCCAATGTCACATTAAGCGAATCTCAGAAAGAAAAAAAAGTGGCAAAAGATTACTTGAAAAAACAATGACAAATAACTGCACCAATTCAACGAAAGACTTGAATCTACCAGTCTGAAAGGCCCTGCCCACTCCAGGCAGAAGGAACCCCAGGAAGCGCCCCCCCACGCCCCCCACGGAGGCCGACCCTGCATGGCAGAGACCAGCGGAGACTGAAGCGCAGCGGGGCCAGGCAGGGTCTCGGCCTGCAGGCGGAGGCGGGGCGCAGCCACAAAGGGGGCGGGGAGGCGGGGCTGCGGTGCGACCCCGAGTCCTGTCCCGGACCCTGGCGGGGGTGCGGGGAGACATCTCCACACGCTTGTGCCCACGCACAGAACAGTGCCGGACCCATTTTGCCTCCTTGTCAAACACGCCATGACCTCCCTCCATCTTGCCCAATGCCTGTCGACAGGGAGGAAGCATGCTGAACTTGCTGTATCTCTTCTGCCTTGAGAAAAATAAAGTGTCTTTTGTTAGTAAATGTCAAGTACTACAAGATGCCTAAACATTTTCTTCAGTTATTACAAATTATTATAAAGCTGGGTGAATGAAACTTCCCACAATTAATTTACCCTAATAGGTTCTCAATATACTTTATATGTATGTATTCTGGACACCATCTTAGGTAAATACTGACGCCTAAGTCACTACATTTGATCATTCACAAAACCATATTTAACACTGGAAGGTGACTTACCAAAACATATTCCTGCATTCCACAGCTCTAGTCTATCAAAAGTATTCTCCCATTAACGTAGTAAGTCATAACCGAGTCTCAAGATTCCTCTGCACACATCCATACAAAGATCAAAATAAAAACCCTGCAACAGACTGTGACCTGATTCCCTGTCAGCAGAGCCCCCACCCCCGCGGACAAAGACCCCCGCAGAAAAGGCCTCTAGGGGAGAGCTGTGCCCGCCCCCTCCCCTCGGACGCGCACGCACGGCTGACTTGGAGGCCGCAATGCCAAAAGGACAGCCACGGCCAGGAGTCACACCCAGACCCGACAATACGATTCTGATTAGTGTCACAAAGATCAAAATATGTATCCATTATAAACTTACAGGAGTTGATCTGCAATTAGAATCTCCAAATATAGACCCCAGAATTTCACTGAGTGAATGAGTTCTCTAACTAGTACCCACTCGTGTATAAGAGAAATAATTTCAGCTTTAGAAATCAGTCTCAGCTGTTTTCTATCAATCTGACCTCATTTGTGTAGAAGGGTCCTCAAAAACCGATTCCCAGATGCGCGTTTAACCAGAAGTCACGGAGCAGGTCGGGGCGGTATTGTACAGCGCTACCACCTTCAGCACGCGAGTGCACAAGTGGGAGCGCAGGCTCACAGACCTGACTCTGACGTGCAGTTCGGCGAGGGCTCGGCCCAGCCCCCCAACCACCACGAAGCGTGTGCGTGTAGACGAGCACGCACCGACAGACGAGGCACAGGCCCCCGCAGCTCGGGCGCCCGCCCTGGCAGACGAGCCCACAACCGCTGACCAAGCTCCAGGGTGCACCCCGCCAGCGCCTCTCCACCCCCGGCAGCCGCCCCCCAAGAAAAGTAAAGGCACCCCTGTCCCAAGCCACACCGTTCACGGGCGGCTCCTGCCCCGCGCCCGGGGTCTCTGGTCAGCGAGGTGGCGAGCCCGCCCCGCTGGGCACACCTACGTCAGCGCAGGCACCGCCAGCACCCCGGGCACAAAGCCCAGGACGACCCCGTTCCCGCGGAGTCCCCACTCCACCCACAAAGCCCCCTCGGGTGACACCTCCACGTCGTCGCTTCCAGAAACACACTAAGGCGGGCGCCAGCCTGCCCCAGGGCTGCGGTTGCCCGGCTCCTCCCCGCGCCCACAGCGACCCGATCGCAGACGGCCGGACCTCACCACCGGCCCCTCGGCTCGGCGCCCGCGCCCCAGGCCCACCTGGCAGGACACGCCCTCACGGCGGTACCTACGTGCTTTCCGGTGCTCGGCCAGGCCCACGGCCTGCTTTGCCGAGCACTTTGCGAACCAGTTGTCCCCGAGCAGAACGGTGACTTCGTTCGTGTGGACGAGTTTCCCCGGCATGAAGGCACAGGGGCCCAACGGCACCTGGGGGAAAAGGAAAAACACTAAAAACACGTTGTTTATGGAACACTCAGCATGGAAAGCTCCCACTGAGGCCTTTTGTATCTTTACACCAAGAAAAAAAAAGCATCAGTGTCGCGGGAGCCTCACTTTGGACTGACGTTCCCGAGGAGGGCCCCCGGGAACGACTCCAGGCCCGTGGGCCAGCGCCAGGGCGGACGGCACGTCTCCCCGCAGCCGTCGGAGAGAGGGGTTCACGAGCCTCAGTGAGAGCAAACGCGTAAGGAAGCGGCAAGTTAGTAAACGCGTTTGACTTTTTTGAAAACTGAAAGTTTCCCATAGAACAGCCGCGTCGTTGCGCAGCGCAGGAAGGGCAGACGCACAGCTTTAGCGCGTCTGCAGAACTGACACGGCACACGGGCCAGGACCACAGGTGATACCGCACCGCCGCGTGCGTGGGCTGGGGCGTCAAGGTCAACGTGCCCGTGAGGAGGGACGCTCCGCAGCACAAGAGGGCCCCGGGGCCCGTGGACGGGTGACTGTGCCGACCAGAGGGCCACGCCAACGACCCGCCGCGGCACCCCACACACAAGATGTGTGCTCTGGGGCTGCACCCCGTGGGCTCGCATCACGGCGCCCTCCTGCTCCGGCTAACGGGGCGGCTGCGTGCCACATCTCTGCCGTAATCACAGTCTCTAGCACAGGGGCCTGCACACCGGACGGGTGGAACTCCGTGCGCACACCCGTGCCACGGGTGTCAGCCCCCGCGGTGCGGCGACTCAGTGTCAGTCTGGGGGAAAGTGCAGAGGTCAGCACCGCCTGTCACCCTCACTGGTGTGACGGGGGTGCTGTTCGGAAGTCAGACCAACCCACCTGCCCGGCCAGGGCGGCTGCCTCTGGCGCCCCGCACACGCGGGAGAGCGGCACAGGAGGCCGCGCGCCGCACACATACCATGACGCTGTAGGACAGCTTGTCCGGCAGCGCGCCAAGCCTCTCCTGCAGGGCGCGGTAGTCCTCGTCCACCTTCTTCCTGCCGACAGAGGACACCCAACACTCCGTGAGCACGCAGAGCAGCTCCTCCGGCGGGCTGCATGTCGTCACACGTGACCATGGGAACCCTGACCGAACTGTTTAAAGACTGAAGTCTGCTGTCACGTAAAAACCCTCTCTGGATGAGGCTCAGGGAAGGAGGTCCCTCGGGGCCGCTGCCGCGCAGGAGCGCCCTCTCGCCCTCGGCAGCCCGCTCCCCGGGGCAGGAGGCCCCCTGGCTCTGGAAGCCGGCGCCCAGGCAGACGGGGAGGGCACCTCGCATGCAGAGGGAGGCGGGCAGCCCAGAGCGGCTGCAGCGTGGAAACCAACACAGTGTGGGGTCCCGCGCTCCAGTCCTCTGAGCCCTGGGGGCTGGAAAGGGGGCCTCCCCAGCCCTTAGTGGCGTCTCCCACCGTGGCCAGGTGAGGCCCGCTCCCCAGGGGGCTGGGAGGAAGTGGGCAGAAACCACGACAAAGGCACTCGGAGCCAGCTCCGGGTCTGCCTCACGTCCCACCTGAGCAGAGCTGCCGGTGACCTGATTTCGAACAGCCCGAAGACGTGACCCTCTAGAAGCAGAGGTGGCCCTGTGCCCCTGTCCCCGCGGGGAGCCCTGCTCAGGTGCCACACCTGCTGGGGGGGCAGCCCAGGCTGAGAGGCCGGGGCCGGCCTCCCCTGGAGATCCGCGTCGGCTCCAGGCAAAGCCAGGGCAGTGCGGTTTTTTAAAGCAGAAGAACGCTGTCAATTTTTTAAAATAACAAAAACCCACCAATTCAGCAAGTCATTTTAAAGAACATGTAGATAGTGTCAAACTGAAATTAGGACAAATTGCAACGTGGATAATTGCTCTCCGGATAATAAAAATGACTGCTCTACAAACACCGTGGGGCTGGTTTCCGTTTACTCCTTGGCTCCCCTAAAGCTGGAGTAGCATAATTAATAAAAATTATCTCGTTTAGTCTGAAGAGTATTAAGGAGTCTCACTATATGTTCCTCACCCTAAAAATACTCCGGCAGTAAATCTCGCCGATCCCCATCTCCCACTCACAGAACAGAGAGCAGGGGGAGGGGCAGAGGGAGGCCCGGCCTGGAATGCTCACCACTCGCCCCGGGGGAGAGAGCCCTTCAGAAGGGCACCCAAGAGCATGCTCACCGGCAGACACCACGTGCACGTCTGAGCGCCCACACTGGGCTCTTCCCTCACGGGGGGGCGTCGCCCACCAGGAAGGGGTGCTCGGCTGCAGGGGCTGGGAGCGGTGTCCGGGGAGCGGGCACGCAGCAGAGTGGGCGGTGCCCTGAGAGTGGCCACCTCTGCTCAGGCACCCGGGCTCCGGGCCCACAGTGCCCAGCACTGCGGTGACCCCCTGCTCAGCGGGGGTCCTCCAGAGCAGGGGGCCTCCCCATCCCACCCAGGGAGCAACTGGCCGCCGGGAGGAGCTTGGCCACTCTCTGCGGCACTAGGGGGACAGCACCAGGGCCCGCAGCGCTCCCGGACTCTCTGGCCACAGGTCTCTCGCGCAAGGAGGCTACGGGCTCCGTGGGCTCGCAGATTCCAGCACTGTCAGATCCTCGTTAGAAAGCCGACAGGAGCCCTGGCTGGCGTAGCTCAATGGATTGAGCGCAGGCTGCTAACCAAAGAATCGCAGGTTCGAATCCCAATCAGGGCATATGCCTGGGTTGCAGGCCGAGGCCCCCAGCAACCGCACATTGATGATGTTTTTTTCTCTCTCTCTCTATCTCCCTCCCTTCCCTCTCTAAAAATAAATAAATAAATCTTAAAAAAAAAAACCAAAACAGAAAATGTCCTTGTTGAAAAATAAAAAAAAAATTTTTAATGAAATAAAAAGAAAGCAGACAGGAAAGTCTGTTTCCTGAGCCCCATTAGAAACGATTCCGAGGAAAAAGCAATTTCTCCCTGGAAAGCATTATTCTGGCTGCTTGATGCATAGGTGTGTAGAGGCGAGCACGCTAAGCTGCTCTAGTGTGGCGTGCGCCGGAGAACTGGGCCGGAGGCACAGTCCAGTGGGGGCTGCCCCTGCTCACCGGGCAGGGCACCCCCGCAGCGTCAGGAGCCACGACGCTCCGAGTGCCAGAGCCGAGCCGCCGCCTGCGTCTACTCAGACCTCACCGGTCCTGAGCGTGCCAGCGTGGACGGAGGTGCGGGGCGCCGAGGAGACCACAGGCCCCCATCGAAGGGGGAAAGAATCTCAGCAATAAACCAGGAGCACACACACAGGTGTCAATTAGCATCTGTTCTCACTGAATCCAACCTTTTGCTAATTTCTTGAGTTCCTTACCAAAACTAATAGAGAGAAAGCCAACATTAATAAAATTTCCTCTAAGAACCATTTGTAAAATGGTTCACTTGGACCAAATTAGCTGGGGGCTGGGGGGCGGAATTAATTCTTTGGCGGAGGCCCAGGTTTAACGGGGACAGTGTCTGATGACAGCGGCCAGTCCCCTCCAGAAGGCTGCCAGGCGGACCCCACCACAGACGCAGCGCCCGGGACACGCAGGGCTCGAGGGGCGGACAGGGCAAGTCTCAGGCGGCTTTCAGGGCCCAGTACAGCCTGCACTGTCCCCTCTCCCCCTGCACGGGCGCTGGAACCAGGACACGTTTGGTGTGCACCAACTATAAATTATCCCCTTGGAGGTCTCTCGGGCACAAAGACAAAGCCTCAAAATAAATTTAAAATATGATACGCTGGCTGGCGTCTAAGCAGAGGTTTAATCTCAGCACCAAAGGGCCGTTGGCAGGCCCCTCCCAGCTGACAGTCAGCAGGGTGCGGGGAAGCCTCCGCAGGCATCGCGTGGGTGTCCTGTGACCCTGCCTGGGAGGTCCTGGGAGGTCGGCAGCTGGACCTCAGGACGACCCCCCCCGCCCCCGGCAAGATTCTGGCCGCCGCCCAGCTGAGCGTTTCCCCGGAGGACAGAGCAGGTGCGCCATCTGCGGAGGGCCGCCCCAGACGCCGAGGATGAGCGAGCGGCTGCCGGCCTCCTCCCGCACTGGGGTCGAGCGCAGCAGCACGGCAAGCGGGGGGTGCAGGGAGCCAGCCAGCTTCTCAAACTCCAGGGGGATGTGCACGTTTCCACCCTTATTTAAAAACAACCAACTGCAATCATTATTCTAGTATAGATGCAAGAAATGCCCCCAAACAGAGCTACAATTAGTCTAGTTCAAAAACGTCTGTCCCCACTTCATAATCGAATTATTCTTACTTTAAAAAAAAAAAGAAAGAAAGAAAGGCAATTAGAATAAACACAAGCGGTGAGACAGCTTCAGGAAATCACGGGGCACGTAAGTCAGGAAACGGGGAAAGACAACATAAATTGCGGGCAGAGGCATCAGAAGTGGAGGGTACCAGAAGAACCCAGTTACGGGCCACCCGAGAAACAGTGCACACTGTATTCAAACACAGACGAGCGCCCGCCCACGCTGCAGACGCGCCCAGGCCGCAGCCGTCTCCACTCACCAGTGCTGGATGCTCTCCCGGCAGCGTGCGACCACCTGTCGTGGAAACAGACAACTGGTCGTGAGAAGTGGGCCTGCACAGAGGCGGACGTCAGCGCGGCAGGGGGCTGGAGCGGCGGCTTCACAGATTCCGCGGCCCCTCGGCCTCCATTTTTACTTGTCACGGGCACAGCCGCGCGAGGCAGGCTCTGAGCGGCACAGTTCATCACGCCCGCTAATGCGGCTGATAACTGCAGGACAAATGGCAGCTCTCCGACCCTCCCTCGGTGCAAAACCCGCTTCAGAGCCATTAGGTGACACATGACATGAGATAACTGGTACTCTGTACAATCTACAGGCCTGTTTTCAATGTTACATATTTTGTAGAATACACACAGTGTTATAAATAACAGAACAGACAACATAGCATCCATGTTTCAACGGTAAAAAAAGAAATGACAACAGTGAAAATACTTTATATTGTCGGTATATCTCCAAATGTTTTCACCTGTAATTTTTATCCTGACGCATTAAAAATGAGTTCGGTGATACTCTTCCACTCCGTGTTCAAAAAGAAACACTCGGGACCAGGAGGTGCTCTGAACAGCCCACTCGCTCCCCCGGTGAATTATGACAAACCTCTAAGCACTTCCTAGCCAGACGAAGTTATGTTTATAACACTAAAACAAAACTCAATATAAAAGTTATTTGTCTCCCTTAGAGATACTCCAGTAGATTCTAAAAGTGCTCAGAAAACAAGTAACACGAACCAGTAAGGGGGAGAATGAACAGCAATTTAAAAGGAGCGCTGTCTTCAAAGATTATCAATGGTCTGTTTCTAAGCAGCCCACTGGTGAAAATTCGGAGCAGTAGCCTCCAGGACGGCGGCGGCGGCAGCACTTCAGAGACAGACACACCGAGCGACAAAGGCTGCCTGGTGGGAGGGACACGGCGCAGGCCCCATACTGGACTCCGAGCGCGCGCGCGCGCGCACGCTCCCCAGAAACCGCACAGCGGGCTGGGGCCGTCACCGGACTTCTCTTGACGGCATTTAACTCCCGGAACGAGGGTCCTCCTCGGAGGCACCGCGAAGACCAAGGCAGCGAGCGGTCCTGAACCAGGAGGCGTGCTGTGGCCCAGCACCCAGCCCTCTACGCGCTCGCCTCGCCGCTTCGGAGGAAGCCCTCCCAGTGAGCACGCGCGCAGGGCCGCACCCAGCACCGCACCCGGCCCCGCGGTGGTTTCCGACTTGGCGATCATCTCACACACACGAGCGGAATTACATGCAAACGGAAAAGGAAGCCGACATGACGAGACCCTCTTTACAAAGCCCCCGTGTAACGGCTCCGTCCCAAGGGGAGACCGCGAGGCGGGGAGGAGGCTCCGCAGCCCCCACGCGAGCGCCGCAGCACGAAGGGGCCAGACCGCAGGCGGGAGAGCCCCGCGCGCCCGGGCAGGTGTTCATTAACCTCTGCACCGTCATCCCGCCGCAGCTGCATATTAACTAGTTGCATATTCCTAATCAGGTACATTATTTAAAGGACCTTCGATGAGATTTTCCATGCAATATCCATTAGTGACAGTGTTAAAGGTTACAGAAGATCATCTACTTAATGTTTCCAGGAAGCCTTTTTAATTAGTAAATATGCAAATCTGGCACGCATGCGTTTCACGGTTAAGAACCAAGTGCCTGGGCGAGTCCGAGGGTCCCTGCCATCACCCCCGCACCCGCCTGCCCCCTGCTGGATTGTGGCTGTCCCCCCAACCCGCCCCGCCCGCCCCTTCTCTTCCCTGAAACAGTTTCCCAGCAGCAGGTTTCGAGGGTAACCCACCACCACATCTGCTCCCCAGCGCACACGGCAAGCGCTCGCTGCCAAGACCCCGTCCGACGCTGCAGCCGCATCAGCGACGCGCAGGGTTGGCCCGGTGCCGCCGGGGCGCCACCCAGATACAGGGGAGACGTGCTGAGACCCGCGGAAACGTGGCGCAGGGAAGAGGCGGCCACGGAAGCGGGCGGGCTTCGAGGGAGGCCGGCGCTTATCCTGCTTGCAGACTCGGAGACCGCGGCCTCCCAAAAACCCCAGGGTCTGCAGCTGCGCTCACGCCGCGAGGGGGCGCCCGGCCGTCCTTCTCCAGGCAGCAAATGATTTCTAAACTTCGGTAAATTTCTGCAATTTAGCTATGAAGGAGCATTTTAAAAGGAAGAAAATCTTGTGATTCAAACTCAAATCTATCTACCTGGGTTAAAAAGGACTATCTTGTATTTTCTGTTAAGTTAAATAGTTCCAAATAACCACATGTGCTCTGAAATGAACTCAAGTCAATTCCTTTAGCTATTAAATACATACAGCAACTATAAGGTCCTGAGCCTGGTTCTGTCACAGCAGCTCTTGAAAACAGACCAGAACAACATAAAACCCTTCGTGGCTTTCTGGTCCTTCACAGAAGCTTTTTTTTTTTTTTAAAGTAAGATGGCTATGGAGGATTAATTCTAGCTTTTAAGTTAAACTTGCCAAAACATACGACGACGACTCCTGAAGCAGAGAGAACCCCCCTGACTCGGCCCGGCAGAAAGAGCCGGCTGGCAGGCTTGGGCAGCCGGAACGAGTGCCCGGTGAGCTCCTCCCGAGAGCCGCCCCTGCGGCCAGGGGTCCGCAGCTGCGAGGCGCACGCACGGAGCCGCACGGCGCCGGGCGCGCGGTGAGGTCCTCGCTGGCTGAGAGCTGGCCTCCACTCTCCCAGACACACGCTCGCTCTCAATGGCAGTCCACCAGCCAGCCGGTGGTCAGCCGGGCGCCTGGCGTGCTTGACAACCCCACGCTGCCCCACGGGCACGGGCGCCAGGGTCCTGCTCCCCCCCACCCAACTCATGACCAGTCTAGGAAGAGGGCCAGGGCTTCTTCCAGGACTGAACAGCCCGGGTGAAAGGGGAGGAGGCCCAGGTGGGTGTTTAACGCGGTAACTAATACACGTGCCGCTTCTAAGACACACGCTTCGAACACAAACAGGTTAAAACTAAAAGAAAAAGAAAACACGAAGAACAAAGGTAAGAGACAGAACAAGACCCATCGTGAAAAGGTGCGAAGACCAACACGCTGACGTGACCGCTCTGGTACCCGGCCGGGACTGCAGGCAGGACGCCGAACGAGGCCACACGGCAAGACCCGTTCGCAAACGCGTGTCCTCGGACCAGAACAGAATTCACTGTGACAACAGAAAATCGAAACTATCTCATGTGTGCCAACCCAGTGACCTTTATTTAGGAAGTTAACTCCTGAGCAGACCGCAGTGGGGGTCGGAACGTGCTGCGAGTGACTGACAACACACACGAGGCATGCGGGCACCCCAGGTGCTGATGAGAGAGAAATGCGGTGAAACCCAAAACCGGGCGGCACAGAGCAGCTGAAAAGGGTAGCTCCTACCTCAAGAAGCCAGAAAAAAACAGCAGGCCAACAGGAAATTTCTGAAAGGAAGAAAAAGATAAAAGCAAAAATCGATGAAGAAGAAAGTCAACTTACAAAGAAAATGATAATTAATTGGTTCTTCAAAAATGTCAACGAGCCCTGGCTGCTGTGGCTCAGTGGACTGCGCACCAGCCCGCGAACCAAAGGGTCGCTGGTTCAGTTCCCAGTCAGGGCGCAGGCCTGGGTTGCCGGCCAGGTCCCCAGCTGGGGGTGCTCAAGAGGCAGCCACACATTGATGTTTCTCTCCTCTGATGTTTCTCTCCTCCTCTTTCTCCCTCACTTTCCCTCCCTAAAAATAAATAAATGACTTATTTTAAGTCAAAGACTGATAAAACCCTAAGAAGACAAATCAAAGGGAAAAACAGATTGTCAATAACAAACGTGGAAAGAACATCACCACCAAACCTACAGACGGAAACGAGACCGGAGGTAATTACGACTAACTCAAGGTCAACCAGTTTTAACTTAGATAAAAATGAGCAGTCCTTGAAAATCCCATTACAAAACTGACACAACTAGAAATAGAAACTCAGAATAGTCCTTTAGCAGACAAAGAAATTGCGTCCCTAGTTTAAAATACCTGGACAGGAAAAGACGAGGCCACGGCCGTCTGACGACTGATCACCCAGACGTGAGGTCGGGCAGCACCAACAGCACCCATGCTGTGATGAAACACACAGAACCGAAAGCCACTCTGTGAGGCCAGCGCGACCCGGAGACCAAACCTAGCAGGGCCACTGGGGGAGAGCAGACCGCAGAGCTGTGTCTGTCCTGACACTGACCCCAGCAACCATGTGCAGGCCGGGAGCCCGCTGGGCAGCAAAGCAGCCACAGTGGCACGGAGGCTCTGGGGGGGTGGGGGGCCTGCCTCCCGCACTGCCCCGCCCGGGCCCCCTGGGCCGGCCTCAAACCGAGGTCCCGCGCTGGTAACCCAACCGGAACCCAACTGAAGGGCCGGAGGCCTGCTCCCCACTGGGGGGCGCGTCTATATCCTTTCTTGCACCCTCAGCCACCAGCCGTGGTGACATCATGCCAATCAGTCAGGACAATATTATTGGGCCAGGAGCCCTCATTTACATAGGAACGAACCAATCAGGGACTGGGGCGGGCCGTCTTCCCCACATCACCCAGTCCCGCCTCCAATCGAACAGAGCTGCATCCGTGTAAAATTCTGTCTGGCAATACACACGTGATAAGGGAGACATGGAAGCAAGAGGTCCTTTCTAGGAACGCAAGGGTGTCTTGGTACTTTGAAAACTCAGATTAACTCACCGCGTAAATACCTCAATAAACACAGACAAAGCACGTGATGAAGTTCAGCATCCTCCAGTGACAAAGCCAGCAAACCAGGAACAGAAGAACGTTTCCTCGCCTCCCTAAAGAGCACCAGCCCCGCAGCAAACGCCGCCTGCGACGGTGGATCGGCAGATCAGTGGATCGGCACAGCCTCTCCCCAGACTCACCGGGCAGGACGTGGAGGCTCCTCCCAGCTCCTCCGTCCAACGTCACACTGATGGCCCCGGGTGTTCAATAAGGCAACGGGATAACACCGAGGCGTGAGAACCTCGAAGCGCACAGCTACCGCTCAGAGGA